GTCTATCATCTACATATATTATCAAATTAATGTAACGGATTAATTAAGCAATATCATCATCATTGTATTAGTCCAAAATGTGAGATATTTACATGCACCAATAAGTATAAGTTAGTTACACAATGATTGGCATCATCGATAAGATCAGTTAAACAATAATTGACATTTACATAAAGTGTAGATTTTTTTTAAAAATATAAAAAATTAATAATAGCATCATACATTAAATTGGCGGAAATTTTTTAATGAGGAAGCGACACATAGGATAGGGAGGGGGGTTGATGATGTCAGCAACGTTTTGTTTTAGTATTAGTTAATAGATTTGTATACACTCTTTTGATCATTTTTTGTAATTCATATGTTGGAAAAAATTATATATAGTTAGGTGGATCTTGTTAGATTCATCTCAAAAAATATTTTTATGATATCAACTATTTCTAATTTTTTTTACAAAAAATACAACTTAAGATATTTTAGTTATAGAATGTGCAATAGCAAGTGTGAAATCACCAACGTTGCTATTAAAAAAATCGGAGGACCTATATCTTCAGAGTATTTTTTAACGATTCCGAACCCACACTTTTGACTTCCTGAATACGCCACTACTCAGGGGTATATGGTGAAAAATCCGATTGATAAATATAGGAAGTTATCTGGCAAGAAGAGTTATTAAAGCAAAATCATAGGTGTGGCGTGATTATTGAATACTCCCTCTTTTTTTTAGTGCCCCATTGAGAGTTTTAGCACTATTTATTTGACCTACTTTGACTAATATTTGTGAATTATAATACATAAGATAAAAATAGTTTTGTGGGTACTTTTGGAATTGTTAGATTATTTATATTCAATTGTTATAATTTATAGTTATTGATAATTAAAGATTTTATTGGTCAAGATTTTGCATCGACATGTGTGTCATCAGTGATCTATTTATTAAATCAACAATCAAGTATTACATTACTATTAGATATTAAAAAAATTAAATCAATACTACTATAAAACTTTTCCCACATTGAATGAGAAGATAAAGGTACTTAAGAAGAAGAGTTATAAAAGCAAAACTTTTAGATTAGGTTTGATTTTGTCCCACATTAATAAATAAGAGACGAGTACCTGGAAAGAAGAGTTATTAAAGCACATTGATAAATAAGAGAAGAGTACTACTAAAATTCGGGCAAATAGCGACAATTTATCTACAACGGCTAGCAAAACTGTCGTAATTAATTTTTTAATTCTACGATGGTTTTAGTAGCAATTACGATGGTTTTTTGAACCGTCGTTGATTAGCAACGGTTTTTGGCCAATAAAACTGCCGCAAAATATATCTAAATATAATTTAAATAAAAATAGACATTAAAGATAATTATAAAAAAATTAAATATTTACGACGGCTATAGACTCAATAAGTGAATCTAGTTAGTAGCATACTAGTACCTACCAACTTTGACCCGGAGAGACGACGGCTGCTTAAACAAGGATCTTCAATTTTGTAGCTTGGAAACGACAATTTGGCATAATAGGGGTTAGAAAACGTACGAGTACATTAAAGGCGGGGCAAAGAATTTTGACGCCCTGTGCGAATTTCGAAATGAGGCCTTTTTTATGCAAAAAAAATATTTAATCATAAAAAGTTAAATAAATAAATAAAAGTAAATTGTCATATTTTATGTTTTTATTTATTTATTTTTTTTTCACGTGACACATTGTGCGTAAGATTAAGATTTACACTAAAAAATTTACAGTTCAATATTCATTTGAAAAGAGTCGTTAACCTGACTTTTAACCCAAATTCATTTTAAACACTTTAAAAATCAACTTCATTAAAAAAAATAGGGGGATGCTAAATAAAATTAGGGAACATTAATACGACCTGTTTCAGGTGAGCTCCGAATACTTGTATCAGGGCCGGTAATGGTTTATCGTCTAAGAAGATACCTACACAGTCAACACAGATTAGCTACTCTCGGGGTTTGTCCGAGGATGACAGCTCCGATGTTAAAGTTAGCAAAATGGAAGATATGAGTAAAATAGGTGGTTTGAGAGTTTTTAGGTTAAGAAAATCTTACATTAGAAGTGAGTTATGCTTGGGTATTTATAGAAAAACCCAAGCTGGTGCCACATGTCGATCCACATAGCTAGTATGTCAAGTGGGCGGTGGGTGTCCACGTGGTCGGAAGCAGCTCTCCACATGGCCGACTTTGAAGACCGATATCGGTAATGTGCCGGTATAAAAGATGATCCAAAAGACAAGATCTGTCCCGGTTTTAACTATTCATATCGGTGTCGGTACCATCCCGTCATCCCATACAACTAGGCCCTAAGTGAGTGCATATGTGCAACTAATGTACTCACTTGAAAATTGTAATTTTGTTTGAACAAAATTATCAATCATTTCAACTTTAGTAGACTATGTTCTCAAAAGTATGCATTAGTATAGTAGTAGGTTTCTCAAAAAACCTTGAAAATCTCTTATTTGCCCTCCAAGTGAGCGTATATGGGAAGCAGATATGCTCAATTGGAAATGTTATGCAGGCCTAAAAATCTCCGATTTGTCCCAAGTGAGCGTATATGGGAAGTTGATATGCTGAATTGGAAAAGTTATGTCGGCTTAAAAATCTCTGATTTGCCTCCCAAGTGAAGCAGATATGCTCAATTAAAAAAATATGCCGACCTAAAAATCTTCGATTTGCCCCCACGTGAGCGTATCTAAAAGTAGATATGCTCAATTGAAAAAGTTATGCCAGCTTAAAAATCTCCGATTAAGTGAGCGTATCAGGGAAGCAGATTTTCTTAATTGGAACAGTTATGTCGGCTTAAAAATCTCCGAATACTTTAACTCAAAAGATCAAGAAAATTTTAGCATATTGTATTTACTTAAATAAATAAACCCCTCCCTTCAAAAAAACAAAATGAATAAATAAACCCCACCAATGAAAATTATAAACCGGATATGATAGAAAGTGAAATAAAAAAATACTCCAAAAATTTTTACAATACTAAGCTACTCCTACGTATGAGGTTACTCTTTGATGGAGGTAGATTGGTAGTGAATTTGTAAAATAGCTATTGTGTTTTTGTGGAAGAAAATCATATAAACAAAAAAAAAAAAAAAAAAAATTGTGGAAGAAAATATTTATTTAAAAAAAAACAAACAAATTACATAAGAGATAAAAATAAACACTAATACTCCTGCGTATGAGATTTCAGAGATTACAAAGGAGAGAGAAGCAAAAAAAAAAAATTGTATGCTGAAGTTGTTTCTAGAATTTATTAAGTCATCAATTAAAAAAATTAAATAAAAGGATACTATATAAAGTAAAGGGGTACAACTGGCAAAAGACATTTATTTCCAAAAAAATTTTCCTTAACAAGAATTGAAACCCTAACTTCCGTCGTGAAACCCATGTATCCTCACCACTGAACCAGGAAAAGGCTTGCAATACTACTTATTCACAATGACCTTTTATTATATTTTGGGGCCCCATTAGTTGGGGGGCCTTGCGCGGTTGCCCAAGTTGTGCCGCACCAGTGCCGCCCATGAGTACTATTGCTATCAATCATTAATTATGTCGATTACTGTTAATGATATTCGATTTAATTACCTAGGATTGTCCGTGAATTTTTTTTTTTTTTTAGATAAATTACTGGATGATAGATAAATTAATGGATGATTGTATAATCATGTCCTAGACACAAATTAAGAGCATAGTATGCAAATGATTAATATGGAAAATGCTTGGACTTAGACGTTAGAATGATACTTCCTCTGTTCTTTTTTACTGACCAGTTTCTTTTATCACACTTGCCAATGCAAAACTTTAACGATCAATAACCTCCATAAGTAAAAATTATAAAAGTTATATATTATGATAATACTTATTGAGACGAATTCAAAAAGATCCCACATAAATATGTATTTCCATAATACTATTCACAAAAGACGGTCAAAGAAAGGGGTGGTGTATAGTGTAAAAGTCAAAGTGGGTCAAGTAAAAAAGAACTGAGGAAGTATTAGATAAAGGATTGTTGAGAAGATTTTATAGTTTTTTAGTTATAAGGTGGAGTTATTCAAAATAGCACGAAGTATAAACCAATTCAACATCTCGTAGTTACTCCCAACTACCTTCACCACAATTACTAACTCAACGTTAATAACAAAGCAAGTGCCAAAGTTATCACATAACAAACGTCCAATTATCACATGCTATAAATCTATGTGGCAACATTTAACACGTTATTTCGCAACTATTACATTAATAACCTAGGTTCAATGATTAGAAAGACGATATTACCCTATAATTGACAAATTTCGTTGATCTAATAGATCAACTTGTATTTGCTCCAAATCATCATTGACTCGTTATTGGATTCGGTATCTTGATAACCAATCGCACTAACAGAAATTTAGGTGCCAAACTAACAAAGCACTGTTCTATTCATCTTATTTTTGCTGAAATGAAATTATTTATACTGAATTTAAACTAACAAGCACTCGTTGTTATTGGTTTCGACGCTCTAAGCTCGGAATCCGACGTGATTGACGTATTAAAGCCTCCGGCTTAATCCGTCGCCTTAGTTTGGTTGCACGCTTGGGTGTGATCCGTTGGGTTCAGTCACAGGAAAGCTGTATTAATCTCACTGATCGGAAATGACCTCTAGCCCGACTTTCCGATCACTTGACTTCACTGAATAATTAACTCCGTAAATAATTCTGAACCCTGTATCGGAATAATACACTTATTCGAAGGACACCATTCCTTTCAAATATAATCAAAGTAGAAAATTATTCTCTTTTTTTGAAGAAAAAAGTAGAAATAATTCTTGTGGATTCATGTTAGAATTGTCTAAATGAATAACTTCATACTTCATACATCAATTTTTCATAGACTAGACTAGTGGAAAATCAAATTAATGATTAAAAACAGGTGTATACAATTAGAAAGGAAGTGTACTGTTATTGACTTAAAACATAGGAAGCAAAAGACATTAAGATTATCATTAAAGAGTTCAGATTTAAAAATAAATGTATAGAATTTCAGTTTAGATTTTGATTTCCATTATAAACACCATAAGGGAAACTATTTTCCACTAAGCTTAGACGCTTAGTACAGTAATTTAAGGCAATAGGATACAGATAATACACGGACTTAAGGCAATATGATAGAGTTGATGAAAGGCAAGGATTTAGCTTTAGATGAACATGGTTAACAGAATAACAGCAAAAACAAGCTTCTGCAAGGGATTTGAACAGATAATACACTAACTTCTCAAAATTACATATTTGCAGGCAAGCCCCAAAATGTAGGAAACAACAGATGAAGAAGCCTTTCATACTATGCAAGTGTGCAGCAAAGTTTTGAATCGATCAAAGCCAAACAGATGCAGAATGCTCGGTATCCAGGGTCAGAAGATGCCTGTTGCATTGAAAATTTCGGCTTCAGTTAACATCTCCTAATATTATAAAAAGGCTAGGTTTCTCAGAATCAACAGACTTTTGAAAGATCAATGAATCCATTACCTATAATCAAGCACAAACTTTTGACTTGCCCAATCTTCCAAGCTGCAGGATAGTTTGTCCTCCATTTCCCGACAAAACAAGTCATAATTTTTAAAAGCAGTGTTAGCATAGCCTTAAGTGATATGTATAAGAAGCTATTATTAAAAATACTAAGCATTTGTTTTCACTAAATTACACATAATTTTGTCATAAACTCTGAAATTAACATTTCAGATTAGAAAATATGTTTGAAGGTTACACATAGCCTCTAAGGGATACGCAGATGCATATTGCAAAACCCATTCTATGACTCGCCTTTAACAAAGGAAAATTGCACATAAACACAACATAAATTTACCTCCATAGTAAGCTGAATGTTCTAATCGAGTTCTGAATTCTAACTAAAGTCCATGACACTCTTCCTGAATTCACCTCCCATCTACTCAGGAAAATCTGTTGAATAATTCATGAATTTTTAACACACAACCTTTAAACCCCTATTCAGGTACACAGTACACTTCAAGCACTATCCTTTCTGCTAAACTTGGCCAAATTCTCTTCAATCACAATTTTATAACCCCAAAATGGCTAAATAGAAAAACTTCATAATTTGTAAACATAATAAAGGACCCAAAAAGGCATACTAAATGATAACACAAACCAACATTTTATCCTACTACGTTATAAGAGCTGGCAAAAAACTACATGACACGATAACCCAACCCGAAGCCGAATACTGAAATACCTCTACAACTCACACTAGGATATAGCATAACAATCACAATTCACAATTTCATTTTATCAAGAAATTAAAATTATTCTGGAAAGTACCATCTTAAATACTTCATCTTGGTTGGCTGAAGTTAAGGAATTCTTGGTTTGGTGTAAAGATTTAGGTGGGTTTTTGGTGGGTTTAGCTATATCAAGAAGAAACCTGAAAATGAAACCAATAACGGCACCTGGGATAAAGTTTTCTGGCCTGAAACTCACTCCTATCCCTTCTCACTCCTCTCTATCATGTTGCTGCTACCATATATTGGAGTTTGTAACTTCTCAATTTACCTCATTGCTGGGAGAACAAAGGAGTTTGATTGTTGGTTATCACTCTTGCATTAGCCAAATGCCAAACAGCCAGCTACAGATGAACTTGCATAACCAGTGACCTGCAGAGATGACAGTATGGTGCTAGGCCCATCCTCGTAGCCTTCATGAGGTATATGTAAACATGTAGTACAGAACAATTCAATGAAAAGGCTAAATTGAGGACGCAACTATCTGTAGCTGAGACTTCAATAGATATGAAGGTTAGATTATAGTATATACATTCTTCAGTTGCCTGAAAAAGACTATTCTCAGCAATGGAATATAGTATACTAAAAGCTACATGTATAGTGATGTTTAGATGTTTACATTTATCCAGAAATTCTAGAATGGGTTCAGGAAAAAAATTTATGTCTTGCAAATTGTACTCTCTTTGGGCATATTACATATGCAATGCATTATGCTCTAGACCATAATCTATTTACGAAACAAATTGGCATTAAACATTAAGAAATCAATTGAAGATGTAGAGAAGAAACCCGTATTAATCCATTTTACTAGGTAAGTTTCCCAATAATACTATCCTAAGTAATTCATCTTTACAACTTGAAAAGATAACAGATATATAAGCATCTAATGATTGTTATTTACTCCAAAATTCATTTTTTTTCTCCAATCAAATCACTATTTATACAATCTAGCAAAATTCAAGCAAACCTATCTGCCAGTATGTTGCTTAGACCATCCATAGTTATAGAAACATCAGATGGAGAGTTGATAGTTGTGCTAATATTCAATAAATTATAACTCAAAGGATGTTGCGAGCTGAGAGAAAGGTCATGAAAGGCTGATCCCAAATGAGCGGGAGAAGACTGGAGAAAATTACCAATCATAATAACTGAGTGCTGGTAGCCTGGCAATCTGGCATCATGCTCCATAGTCCAGAAATGATCAATGGCTTCAGATGTCCAGATAGAAGCCCTTAATAAGCAAGTCAAGTCTAATAATGGCAGATGGTCATGTGTTTTTGTGATGTCCAGAAATGATCAATGGCTTCTTGTTTTAGTATGAAGTACATTTCCCACAAGCAGTAGTCCAAATCCAAACAATTAACAGATGGTCATGTGTTTTTGTGGAAGTCTTCTCATGCATCTTTCACAAACAATAGCACAACTACAATACCTGAAGGAACGGACCAGTTTTGCAGTGAGTATCCTGTCTATACTCTCCAATTGTTGTTGAATTTCATAGTCTTCCTCCCATGAATGCCTCATGAATTACATCCTAGGAGACATGTTCTACTTTTCAACTTTCTGCAACAAATATGTCCTATTCGGATTTAGAGTGACGGAGCAAATGTAAGTCTTTTTTCTGTATATATGATTAAAAAGCTAAATATCTGAAAGGAAGAGCCAGCTATAAAATTGGGGTTCATTCAAAGATATAGTATAGTATAGTTTTGTTTTGTTTGTTATCTCAGGTTAAAAGCAAATGTAAGATCCACTTTCAAAAACTGAAGAATTCATCTTTACCTCTCAGACTACATGGCTTCAGAAATTAATTGCATATTCAGATGTAGCGAAATGCGAATGGGTCATTAAACTCACTGTCGTTTGCTGCACCCTGAAAATGAAGTAAATCATTTGAACCACAATTCCTGCAGAAGCAAAGGAAGTTGATTGCCTCGATCCTTAAACGTCTTGGAAAGCTCAGTGGGACTCCAGGAGACAAAGGAGAATGCATTTAGTCGCCCAATCACAATAAACCACAGCACCTGTCACTTAAATCCAACTATACCCAGGTTCCTTCACAACATCTGCCACCTTCATGGAATCTCTTGTTCTTTCAACTTCTGACCACAACTGCTTAGTGGCATATATGTTGGAGAGAATAGTATAAGTTGAGGAGTCATTGGATTTTAAGTGCAAACAATACTCTGCAACTCGAGCAGCAACATCAAAATCTCTGTGCGCTTCACAAGAAGAGAGGAGAGACTTCCACATTTCATAGTCCCCTTTAAAGGGTGAACTAAGAAGAAACTCTTCCGCCTCCTTAACATAACCAGTATGACCTAGGAGATTCACCATACAGGAGTAGTGTTCTACAGAAGGTGAAACACCATAGTGGCTTTCCATTAGTTGGAGATAGCGTCTACCTTCTTGAACTAATCCTGCATGAAAACAAGCAAGGAGAACTCCAACAAAAGTTCCTGAAGTAGGCAAGACCCTACACCTCACCATTTCATGGAACAGGTGTAATGCTTTATCAGAGTAACCATTATGAGCAAAACCTGCTATCATTGAGTTCCAAGAGACAGCATTTTTCTCAGGCATCTCGGAGAACAGTTTATGAGCATCCTCCACCATTCCACATTTGGAGTACATGTCAATCAGTGCACTTCCAACAAATATATGGTGGCTCAGGCCCACTTTCTGCACATACCCATGGAGGTACCTTCCTTGTGCAACAGCTGCCAGATTAGCTACTGCCTTGATAGCACTAGAGGAAGAAAATTCATCTGCCATTTCCGACAGCCTGTGCATTTCACAGAACACCTCAAGAGCTTTGGTGTGTTCATTGTTTTGGACAAGTCCTGACATAATGGCTGTCCAAGAAACAATTTCACTCCCCTGTGCAGAATCAAATGCTTTTATTGCAGAATTAATAAGCCCACACTTCGAATAAAAGTTTACAATTGAATTCCTAACTAAAACATCTCGGTCCAAGCCAAGCTTTATTGAATCTGAGTGCACTCGTTCCCCCACAACAAAGGCACAAGATGTAGAACAAGATGTGAGAAGACCAATAAAGGTGCACGCATCAGGTTTCATTCCCTGAAGTCTCAGCAGTGTATAACTTTTAACAGCATTTTCATGATCACCAATCAAACCATAGCCAGTAATAAGCGCATTATATGATATTACATTCTTTTTCTCCATCTCAGAGAAAGCTTTTTTAGCATCAGTCATGATCAAAAACTTGGAGTACATATCAACAATTGCAGTACCCAAGTAAACATCAGATAATATACCAAATTTCAATGATTTAGCATGAAGTTTTCTACCAAGTGTCTCATCAGGCATAACAGATGAAGCATCTACAACAGCCGAAAATGTAGTACAATTCGGAGTAAGCCCCCGAATTTCTATCTCAAGGAATAATTCAATCGCTTCTTCTTCATAACCATTTTGAGCATAGCCAGTAATCATAGTATTCCACACTACAACATCCATAGTTCGCAATCGATCAAAAACAGCACGCGCACTACCCAACTCTTCATAACTTGAATACATACCAACAAGAGAACTAACAACAAAAACATTCGAATCGAAACCAATCTTAATCACATAACAATGAACAGACTCACCAAAGCTACAGCTACCCAAATTAGCACAAGCATTAAGAACACTAGCAAGACTAAAATCACTCACAAAACCCCTCCAATGAACACCCCCATTAACCATCCCACAAAACAACCTACAAGCTTCATTACTAAACCCATTTTGCGCATACTTAGAAATCATCAAATTACACACCACTTCATCTCGGTCAGGCATTTCATCAAACACATGGCGGGCATCGACTATTCGACGAAAACTAGTGTACATAGAGATTAACCCACCACAAACAAAGAGCTGATTCTGATACCCTTTCTTGAGAATTAAACTATGCAAGCTTAAACCGAAAGATCTGTGGACTGATTGAGCGCAAGCAGTTAAGGTGGTTGAGAATGTAACTTCATTTGGTTTAACCCCAGCTCTTCGCATATTAAGGAACAAAGAAAGTGCTCTGTTAAACAAACCTTTTTGCGAGTATGATTGGATTTTTGATGTCCATTGCACCACATTTTCGCCAAACATTATAAGTTCTGAGAAATTCTGGGTGTGAGTGAGGAAGATTAAGTGAAGAAAAAACTAAAATTTAGCAAAAACAAAAAAGGAGGGAAAGTAATTTTAAATAGAAATATTTATTAGTTAGGATTGTGGTAACAACGAATCCGTTGTAGTCTAGTTGGTCAGGATACTCGGCTCTCACCCGAGAGACCCGGGTTCAAGTCCCGGCAACGGAAGGGTTTTTTTTATTAGACTTTTTTTTAAAAAAAAAAATTACCGTCTTTTGGGGACAAAATGAAATGAGACGTTGTGAGGATTTGATGTCTCTTCCATCCTTGCACTACTGAGGAATCGGAAATCTCATTACCTGTTAAACGGGTTCGTTTTATGTTCATATAGACTCTAGTTGGGTTGGTTGTGTTCCCTCATGCGATGATGACTAAAAATCTTTTTAGTCTATACGATGTACAAGAGATCTCATGGAACATGTAGCTATCTATACCCGTTAAAGGATGATGAATGGACAAATGTTTTCGATGAAGATTATGAATGTGAAGTTGACTCTATTTTCTTGGATGAAGCATTGCATTGCCTTGTATGCCCCTAATGGATTATTATATTGGATTTGGTTTTAGAAATCTTTAAGAAGGTGCTCTTCTCAATTAAGGCTGATCAAATACCAAAAGATGATCAGCTATCGCTTGGTATCATTGGAGAACATTCCTGAACATGACTGTCTATGTGCTATGTTTGAGTTGTGGACACTAAAAGAGTATGATAATTGGGATTCTTGGGAAAAGCTGTATCGAATTGACTTGCGAGAAAATATTGTCATAAGTTGCATCCAATTTTTAGGGTTTACATGCAGCAGTAATCTTTGCATTCAACAAAAAAATGTTTGTACTTGTGCTAGTTGATACAAATAAAGATCCAACTTCACATATCATAGCTCGGAATCCCTCTTTTGAAAAGGTCTACAAGGTGATGGATTATGTGGAGTCGTGTGTCTCCTAATTCTATTCAGTTAATTAATTTTGGTGGCATTCAAACCATAGGAGCATGATAAAGGACCATGTCAAGGACGCGGACAAGATGGTTAAAAGGATAAGGTTTGGGGATGAAGAATTGAAATTGTGATGCTAATATGCTATTACTACTAGTACGTAGTAAACTAGTAATCATTTTGTTGACAATCGAATGTGTTGAGATATATGTGAATATAGTTTGTTATTGTATTTTAGTTAAGCATATATTTAGAGCAGTGGCGGAGCCACATTAGAACAAGGGGGGACAGTTGTCCCCCCATTTTCGGAAAAAAAGTTTTTTTAAAAAAAAAAAAATCAAGAAAATACAGTAAAAGGCTATAAATAACATATACTTACAGTAGATATCACAATATTGAATATGGTTTGGTGGTTGAGTCCTTAGTAAGGCTGTGTTTTGGTCCTAGGTTCGATTCCCTACTCTACTGTTTTTCAGCTTTTTTGTTTTTTTTTTCCCCTACTTCTTGTTTTTTTTATTACATACTCTAATTTTCAACAACCTTTTTAATTTGATTTTTTATTTCCTATTTCTTGTTTTAGGATTTTTAATGTTATTTCTTATTTCCTACTTCTTGTTTTTAATTATCGCTTAACTAAGTGTGCTCTCAATTTTTTTTTTACATTTCTAATAAATAGATTACTATTAATTAATTGTTTGTAACTGTGTTTTAACGAAATACATATTAATAATATGATTGATTTGAAAAAGTTGAGTTTATTTTTTCGAATGTAACTCAAACCCTGGCCCTTCATATCTACCATCAATTTGTTTTAACGATAATTATTTGACTTTATGATAAGGTAATTAATTCGTATTTATCAATTATGTGATTACATAACAGGATTTACAAATATAAATTTATTCATTTTTGTTGGATAATTTTCTTAATATACAATAAAACTTTTTTACCCCTCTTTTTCCATATAGAAATAATTGGCATATGTGATTTCAAATAAATATTAAACAATTTAGGTTATCAATTTTTTTCTTGAGATTTTTGCCGAAACTTTAACCTCCAAAATTTGTCCCCCCGAATTATAAATCCTGGCTCCGCCACTGATTTAGAGTGATATGCATATAATTAGTTTCCTAAATATATGCCTTGTATTTAGAGCTGTCAATTCGGGTAAACAGGTCGGGTTTGGGTCGGGTCAACTCGGGTCGGGTTATGTCGGGTTAATGTCGTAACCTATACGGGTCGGGTTCGGGTTGGGTCATGCTTGAGTCGGGTAACGTCGGGTCATACATCTTATCGGGTTTGGGTCGGGTTTAGGTCGGGTTAATAACAGGTCGGGTTACATTCGGGTCGGGTAAATAATAGGTCGGGTTTAATTCGGGTTTTCACGGGTTAAAACGGGTTAGGGTCATTCTCGGATACGAGTCGGGTTCGGTTCAAGTCAATAATTTGCGGGTTATAATCAGGTCAGGTCATTCTCGGGTTTGAGTCGGGTTCGATTCAAGTCAATAATTTGCAGGTTATAATCAGGTCGGGTCATTTCCAAGTCGGGTCATTCTCAGGTTCAAGTCGAGTTCGGTTCAAGTCAATTATCTGCGGGTTACAATTAGGTCGGGTCATTTACAAGTCAGGTCATGTTCGGGTTCAAGTCGGGTTTGGTTCAAGTAAAAAAATTGCAGGTTATAATTAGGTCGGATCATTTCCAAGTCAGGTTATGTTCGGGTTCGGGTCTCAAATATTGGGTTAATCTGGATATCGGGTTGATTTCAGGTTGGGTCATATCAGGTTCGGGTACATTTTTTGGGTCGGTTTTTTAACAGTTCACGTAATGACATTCACGTTTAATCATTATCAATTACTTCATTTATTGTAAGAGAAATAATTTCAGATAAGTTTAAATTCGAGGTCATAAGTTCTAATAAGTTTAGATAAGATCTACATAATAAGTTCATATTAATTCCAATAAGATAGGTTTAGTTTAGATTTTTAGAAGATAAGTTCAAACGCTATTCTAATTTATTCACATTGATTCCACTCATTTTAGGGATAACAATTTCAGATAAGTTCATATTCGAGATGACATGTTTAGATAAAATATAATAAGTTCATATAAATTCGGATAAAATAGGTTTAGTTTAGATAAGTTAAAATACAATAATTTTTTTTTCTAAACTTATTTTACTTGAAATTATCTAAACTTGTTTATTTTTTACTAGTTCATATCCTAGTTCACGTTTTTTTTAATGACGTTTTTTTGTAAGCATTTAAATGGCATTATTCAAAACATTTAAATAAGATTAAATAGGCAAATGAATAATAAAATTAGAAAAATAAAAGACCAATAAAAGCCTTTCAACAGCTCTAGTTCGGGTCACCACTTTCTCGAGTCCAGACAAGTCAAGTCATGATCGGGTACAGGTAAATTATTTGGGTCAGATTATCATCGGGTCATTGTCATATACTCATGCTCGCATTCAATCATTATCACGTTCAATTCAATCATTATCCGAAATTATTATTTATTTTAACTTTTTTTTATTTATTTTTTAAAATTTTTTTTTAATAAAATATAAGATAAAACAAACAAGCCTAAGGTCAAATAGTAATTGTAAGCCGTAATTGACTACATTAATGCACATGCACCTACAAAGTAGTAGTATTCGTAAACCATAATTGCTTAATTGAAATATAGAATGAACTTGCACCTAAAAAGTAATAGTATTCTTAAATCGTAATTACTAAATTTAAATAAAGGATGCACATGCATCCAAAAAGTAGTGGTATTCATAATTTTTTATAGGTTTTTTTTAGACATATAAATTGTAATACATTTGATATAGAGAATTTTATTGAAAACATTTGAATAAGCTTAAATAGGAGAATAACTCATAGAATTAGGGGGGGGGGGGGGGAATGACGTAATCCTAGATTGCTAGTTAATTTCGGGTCAATAAGAAGTCAGGTTGATTTCGGGTCGGGTTAGTGACAGGTCGGGTTGAATTTTGGGTCGGGTTAGTAATAGGTCGGGTTAAATTCGGGTCGGGTTAAATTCGGGTTTTTTCGAGTTAAAACGGGTTTGGGTCAATTTCGGTTTGGGTCGGGTTCTGTTCAAGTCAATATTTTACGGGTTATATTCGGGTCGGGTCATCTCCAGATCGGTTCATGTTCGGGTTCGAGTCTCAAATATTCGGGTTAACTCAGGTCTAGGGTTGGTTTCATGTTGGGTCATATCGGGTTCGGGTCATCATTTTTCGAGTTTAGACGGGTCGGTTAATAATCAGGTTCGGGTCGGTATTTCGAGTCGGGTCAGCTTTTGACAGCTCTACTTGTATTATGCCTTGTAAGATATATACAGGAAACTAATTATATGCATATCAATCTAAATATATACTTAACTAAAATACAATAACAAACTATATTCACATATATAATGTTCATTTTGGTTGGATTTTTTTAAAAATAAATTACATAGATTTTTGGTTGGATTGTGGTCAATCTGGTCATGTATTTTGTAGTGGCTTGGATAATTCCTACCATTATGTATTTAGATTTAGTTATGTAGTTTCTGTTATGTTCTATAACTAATGTATTAATCTTCAATGAGTGGCAGTGTGCATTGTGGATTAACAATGGCTTGTGCGGGATCTTTAATATGAAGCTTAGTATTTTAAAGAAGTTCAAAGCCAATATATGTTGCAGAAGCCTTTTCAAATTTTGGTGCTTTGTGAAACCAATAGTTTATTAAATTGTTCATTTTGGACAACACTCTAGGTTTATACTTGATCGAAATACAATTGATAGAAGCATTGAACAAGAGAAAGCATTAACAACTTGTCACTTTAAAAGTTGGGGAAAAAACTGTGCAATTAAAAAATAGATTTATTTATACTGCAATGACCAAGAGTCCACATGGTTATTGTTAATTGTTATACGAAGTATACATACTTGTACGTTGCCAATATACTACAGTATGTCTGTTTATGAAAGATTTTGACACTTTGAAATATTTGTTCAAACTTCAAATTTAGAATACGTTGACAATTAATTCTCACTATTACATATTTTAAAATAAAGTTACGAATCGCGATAGATTCTTGTTTGATCATTTCTTTATCTATATTTCAAAATTAAATTTTTTTAATCCCTACCTTTTAAAATTCTTTCAAAAAAAAAAATCTCTACCTTTCAAAAGGTAGGAGTAAACACTTATAAATCCCTACATTTTAAAAAGTATGAGTGAACACTTATGAATAGGTTGAGGAAAATTATATCCTCAAATGTTTGTTTCCTATATGCCCTTATTGATATGATGTTAATTATCTCTAAGGTTTTATTTGTGTGACTTAATAATTTAACTTATATAAATAGTGTTTTTTTGACAATTATACCCTCTAAAAGTTTATTTACTTATTTGCCCTTAATAATGTGTTTTTTATGACTATTTGCCTCTAGAAGTAATCAATGTTAACGATATGTGAACATTCTGTTACAACAGCAGCATATTTTTCCTGGTAAAGCAGCATGTCTATCATACACTAACTTCTTAAGTATTCGATTTCACGATATGTGAATGTTCTGTTACAGCAGCAACAGATTTTTCCCAGTAAAGCATATCATCTCCCTGATTTTTGAATAATACACATATCATATCCCACTAAAAACTTCTCAAAATTACATATTTGTAGGCAACCCCAAAAATGTAGCAACCAAAAGATGAAGAAGCCTTTCATACTGTACAGCAAAGTTTTGGATCGATCGAAGCCAAACAGATGCAGAATGCTTGGTATCCAGTCAGTGGATGCCTGTTGCATTGAAGATTTCGGCTTCAGTTAACATCTCCTAATAAAAAGGCTATGTTTCTCAGAATCAGCAGACTTAAAAAATTCAATGAATCCATTACCTATAATCAAGCACAAACTTTGACTTGCCCAATCTTCCAAGCTGCAGGATAGTTTGTCCTCCACTCCCCTACAAATTAGTCATTTTTTTTACAAGTGTTAGCATAGCCTTAACTCCTTAAGTGACATTTATAAGAAGCGATAAACAGAAAGACTAAGCATTTGCTTTCACTAATTTACGCGTGATTTTGTCATAGACTCTAAAACTTACATTCCAGATTAGAGAATATATTTAAAGCTTACACATTACTCCTTATGGATACGTAGATAAGTATAGCAAAGCCCATTCTGAAACTCGTAAAAAATTGCACATAAACCATACCCTTACCTCCATAGTAAGTTGGATGTTCTTAACAGAGCTCTGAATTCTAAGGCCAGCTCTGACTTTCTCTCTGAAATCCAACTCGTATTTCTTTGAAATCTAAAGATGCAAACCAGTCAGAAATTTATAGTAAATTACTACACCAAGATGGAGAAAAAAAGTGATACTTAAAATTATAGGAAAAAGCATTCTGACCTTGTTATAATGCGGCACTCTTGATGAAAGGCAATGAACTTGGTCTTGGTCCATCTTCCCCTCCCACCACTGTGAAGGAAGACCCTTCACATTTTGTACCTGTAGATGTCAAAATTTCACTGATTCAGTCACAAGGTCGTTGGAATAAATTTGATGCATTAACCAAAATATCGCGTCTTCATCAATCAAAGATTGACCTGATTATTAGTTGTATTCTTCGACTGCGTGGACTGAGGCTGCTGCTTCGAAATCCATGCTCTAAGACTTCTGTGCCTCCCAGTCCAGGTAGCAATGGTGGGAGCAAACCTGCACCAAAATCGATTTTAATTAGAGATAGTTTTGGTGCCTACATTATGAACTATTGCTCCAGCATTAAGAGAAGGATCATAGGTGCAGCACTTACTCAACAATAGCCTCAAGCAATCTTGATCTTTCAACCCGTGTCCTAGGGGACCGGCCCTGGGATACAAGAATTCACATTTTAATCGCCGAGTTTGGCAAGAAATGAATTATTAGTACTAATCTCATGTCCCATGATTTTAATGATTAGAATTGGAGGTCCTTTGTATCATGATATCAGTATAGTTGTACCTTATTCCAGACATAGTATCTTGAACCCATGAGGTTTGCTGTTACTAGACCAACAAAGCTGTCGTCTGAGGTAGACAATACGCCCTTTGTGTTCTGCGCGATGATGAATACAGACCGTCCACTACGTCGTTTGTGGTAAGCAACAGCCAGTTTTCGGTTTTGTCGGCCTTGACCCTCCTGAAATTAAAAGCTGAGAAAATCACTATTCATGAAAATAACTTATGCTGTTCAAACTATAGCCAGTATCATTCAATCTGTCTACTTGTACTATAGAAATTAACCAACCAAATTTATAACATTGTCTTTTGTTGTCATACAAAAAGACCATTTAATGACCTTTAGCTATGTTTAGAGAAAGCTTACACTGCAGTAATATTACACAACACAACAGCCAGCTAAACTTCATAATTTGAACTAGTATTTTATTTATATATTTTTTTTTCTTATAAATCATAACTTGAACTAATATAAATACTTGTACAACAGAAAGATCACTCTAACGGTCTAACCGGTACAAAAAAAATTGGAAATTAAATAAGCATAAGAAATTATATAGGAGTAGAACAAGTACAAAGATATAATTGAGTCACTGAACTTCTGACATAAGAATACTAAAACGCGCAAGGCAATACATTAGAAACTAATTTTTTCGAACCCAAGTACTCGTGTTAGACATAGGTATGTATCCATGAGCTATAGAAGTATATAATTCCTAATATTTGGTCCGAATTGAAGTGTCAAGAATACATATACTTATGTGGAGCATCATGTGCCAAGTATCCAACACAGGAAATCAAGGTGAAACACAAGTGCCAACAAACATATCCTCAAGAATGAAAAACTGAACTGTTTTCATCTTATCAAGCATCTCAGTATATGTTGCTAATTCAATAATCATAATGAACAGAAAAGTTAAAAGCTAACAAGAAAAGCAAACAAGGAGCATACATTGGTATACAAAGAGTACAACGAACCGCCACGAAATCCTTGAGGTGCAGCTTCCTTGATTATAATACAAGTGCACCTTCCAACATCCATTGGCAGTGGTCTACACAACAAAGCCCTGCATAAAATTTAGTCTAAAAATCATCAGCTGCAAATTTTCACAATTACATTCATCTATGGTCATAAAATACCCTTAAATCATATCATTATTTAGTTACTAATTAACTCTTTAATTATCAAAATTGTACACAGATCAAACCAACCTATTAGGCAATGTAGACCAAGAAGAAGCAGGAGCAGCCTCAGAATCAGAGTAATCCCACATATTCACCGATTTCGCGCTCTCGGTCTCCTCAGCAGCATCCCACACCTTAAAACCAAAACCGAACCCGAAACTCGAGTCGGGTTCATTCATTTGTATACACAATCGAAGAGAAGAAGGCTTCAAAGCTCGTTCTTTACAATTCTGCAATGATTTCCCATCTGGGTATTGTTTCTTGGTACAAAATTCAGTCATTTTAGGCACTAAATTCTCCTTATCATCAGTAAAGTTCGAAACTTTCTTTGATTTTAATATGGGAATATCATTTTCCTTACAATTCATAATGTTTTTGCTGCTGTTTTTGAGAGAAAGGTGGTTTTCAAGAGGAATGACTGCAACTTCTGCTACATTTTCATTGGTTTTTCGGTCAATGAGAGGATTTGTGTAGAGTGAATTATAAGAAGTTTGCCGTAAAATTGACGTTTTCTTCAATCCAGCCATTTTGTTTCTTGTTGGTTTTTTTTGGGGAAAGATTAATAGTTGTTCATGAAGGAAAATTGGTGGAATTTGGGAAAGAACAAAAGATGTGAGGAAAATTGGATTGGTTATAGGATTAGAAAAAAGGGGCCCACAAAAGTGAGTATTGTCTGATTTATCTGGAGAAAATCTTTGAGTTTGTCTTGGGTTTTGTTGTCATTAAGAAGGTGTTGGTGTTTCAAGGAGTTTGAATTTTGAAAGTGGAGAATGATAGTGAAAGGGGAGTTTGAATTTGTAATGGTTACTTCTTTTAGTAACGGTAAAATTTTTTGGAGTGTTTTTTGTTTGTTGAGTATATAGGGCGGTGACTCGGTTTTTTTTTTTTTTTTAATACAAAATCCTGTGTATAACGGGTGTAGATTAATTTATTGTAAAACGGATTAAAGTTATGTTAAAAATACTTAAAGTTATCCTTTATACCGTAAAAGTTATTATTTTTCTATTGATAAATTTTATCTTACAAAAAACTTATAATGTATCACAAAGTCTTATATGTGACAAGCCACATGGTGTGACCACTTCAAAATAAAGCAATTAATTAAGTAATAGGGGGTTACGATGATGAGCAAAGGGGATTACCTTGACACCTTGACGTATGTGAGTTATTTAAATGAAAAAAAGGTTATTCTCTTACAGAAGTGGAATAATTTTTTCATTAATTAAAACAAAAAAATAGGGTTTACTCGAATGAACAAATGGGTTTACTTATTTCTAAATAGTTGATATTACTCATATAATGAATAAGAGTTATTTGACAAAATGAGGTTACTCTTATGAATAAATAGAGTTACTCATATACATAAATAAGGATTATTCTTATTAATCAATGTAGCCACACCGTGTGGCTAGCCACATACAAGACTTACTCATAATGTATTAGATTAATCATATTAGTTTTAATAGTATGTAATCACGTATCTATAAGAAATTACACTTTAAAATAAAATCCAAACCAACGACAAATTAAAAGTTACCCTTTAAGTGGTTAAGATTACCATAAAAGTTAAAGTTACGCTCAAACTGACCGTTTTATAATAAAATTAATATACACCCATTATACACAAGACTTTGTCTTTTTTTTTTTTTTTTGAATTTATTAATAGTGTTTGGACATTTATTCTCCTAAATATATTTTTTTACATATTTTTCCTAATTAATGCTACTAGCAATGCCAAACCGAAAGAACTTCCAAACATGACTAGCTATGACGCGCGTTAGCATCCCTAGCTTAAATAAAAAAGAATAACGACATTCGTTGCAATGTAACCTTTTTGTGATTCTTGCTTGTAAATAAAATCAACTAACATAGCTCTAGGTATCGTGTTGCATATATTATTTGGTAATGAAATTGAGAAAAAGGAAGAGCTAGTTGAGGCCGCACTAGGGCTAAGATTGCGATTCTCAAAAGAACGTTTTCCTAGTACCCTTACTCCCGAACTCATTGCTGGTTTAGTAGACCAATTTGGGCATGGGTAAACTTATAATTCATGCTAATTATCCTTTGAACTCTACTTGGGAGAAAGGTGTGAACAAGGTTTATGAGTTTTTCCAAAACTCATTAGCTACTCTCTATTGGTTTCTTATAAAAACAAGTAATGATTGGCTTATTTCTAATTCAAGGTCTCTCAAACAGTCAAGAATTCAAATCCTAATACAGCCTACAAAGCGTAAAGTCCTAAGCTTTTCAAGGGTCAAGGACAGAGAGGAAATAAGATCTCTAACGACGGGATACATACCTCACACCAGCTACCTACCCCTACTTTCTTCCTCTTTCTTATGGCTACTCTTCCTCACTGACGACTAAAATCACATATGACATTTCATATTAGTTATTTTGTTAGAATTATTCTAATTATATTTTTACAAATATTTAAATATAAACCAAAAGAAAATAACAACAACAACCAAAATGACTTTCCACAGCTCACAAATGAAACCCAAGTTAAACCCTACTGCCCTTTTAATCTTCAACATCAAATATTCACCTTCAACCTTCCTTAAGTTGTGGTTAGCTTGCTTTAGGTCATGCATAAGCCTCATAAGCTCACTTTTCAGCTCCTGCTTCTCCTCCATCAACCCCGGCCCAAAATCACATCAGTCTGCCAAATGGTGGGATCTTCAGCATCAACCCATCTAAAATACTTGCAGCCTGTCCTTTCAGTTTTAGCATTTTAGTCGAGGCATGCGTAAAACCTTTATCTAGGATTATCTTTTGTCCAAGCCCTACGCTTTGACAATAACAAGCCACAGTGACACATCTTACCCCCTATACTCATTCCGGAAGTGCTCCTTGACATTTTTCAGATATACTTCACTATTATTTTGCAAAAAAATTTGTTCTAAAAAATTATTAAGCAATTTTTTTTCCTTGGTTTTTTGTTGCAGATTTGATCTTCAAATGAATTGGAAGCGATGGAGTATATATAGAGTTGTTGCTTGCCTTTTATTTTTGATCAAGTACTGTTTTGTAATGGCTAGTTTTTTTGAAACAAACGAAACAGATTTCTAAATAAGTTTAGGGAGTTCCTGCAATTAATTCAGAAAGTTTAGGGAGTTCTGTTCTCCATGTCAGAAAGTTTAGGGAGCTCAAGCATTTTACCTATTATTGTAGGTCAAAACTCAGTTCAGTAAGTGTTTCGGGTGAAAACAATGGGACCTTGTCGAAGGTCTGATGAAGTGGAGAAGACTAGATTCGATCCAAGTAATGTTGGGCCGAAGGTTTCCTGCACAGTAAACACACGTAAACTAGCCTCGGGGTGTTGCCGAGGAAGGCCCCTCCGATGCTAAAGTCAGTACAGTGCGTAGAAAGAGAACACTATGCAAGAGAATTAGTTGCTTGAGGCTTTGCTTGAATGAATGTACAAATGTAATATTGATGGCTTTTATACCTCTTCATACATGGAGAAGTTGGGCCTTAGCCCAATTGGCTTGCCTTGAGGACTGATCTTTGACTTTAGCACAATTGGAGAGATGAACCTTGACCTTGGGCTTTTAATTGGATCATTTAATGCCTAAGCCCAATTGGACTAAATTGGACCCAAACAGTAAGTAATTTGCAAGTTTTGGAAGTTCAGTGAGTGATCTGCAACTTTGTCTTAAGTTTAGGGAGTAGTTGTGTAGTTTACTCGTTTTTTAAGGGCTTGTAATTCCCAATTTTCCGACGCATTGCATTTCTTCTCATCTTGATATACGTAATGTCATCTTCAAATGGCCGGTTTTATTTCTTTACATGTAGTCTTAATGGAAGGGTAAGGTTGTGGTTGACGGTAGGGTTGGTAATGACAAGCATCCATGTAGGCGGTTTGAGACTCATGACAAAACCTAGGAGATCGAGAGAATGAAAGTTCTAGAAGAGATAGAATATAAAATGAGAAAGAGTGAAACTGGGTACTATTAGAGAAAATTAAATAAAAAGAAAATAGGTCATATTTCACCTTTGTTTTTTAAATATAACATTTATTTTAACAAATAATTTGAGTCGCTCGCGAGCTTTCAAGCCAAGCTAAGCATGACTCGTGTATCGTCTCCTTTAATCTCGAGCCGAATTCGAACTCGAGCCGAGCCCTGCTGAATTGAGCTTTGACCGAGCCGAGCTTGAACAGTTCTCTAAACTTGATAAAAGTAATGTGTTAACTAAAAAATGGAAGAAATGTGACTAACTTTCTGAAAAAACTCCCTCGAAAGAAAGGGCGAACTCTCTAGCGTGCCTAGGGTTTTCCTGCCGGTTTTTAACCAGATTTACTGCTTTGTTTTCCTGTCGACGGAAGGATGGGGGTACCCGCGCCCACTACAACAAAATTAAGATAGGTAACAGTGAAAAACTATTGCCTAATATAAAAAAAAGTGTTGTCTTATAGCTAAGGCAACACATATGAGGCGTAGTTTATGCCCCCGTTGTCTATTCATAAGGCAACACTCTTTTATTCAAAGGCAATAATTTTAAAAGCCAAGGTAAAATGATACCTAAGGTAACACTTTTCCAAAGGCAACAAATGAAAAATGTTGCCACCTAAACAACCTTTTCTATTGTTGTATTTGCTAGTAACGATACAAAAGTGTTGTCAAACATATTAAAGACAACACTCTAAAAACTGGTATATATAGATTGAAAAAACTAAAATGAATCGACTATTTTTTCTATTGTAGTATCATTTATTGTTATACTACGTTAAACATCAAAATGTCGAACATCAAAATATGTTGTAAACATTTAACTAAATGATTCCAAAGTAGTAAAATTTGTAATATATATAAAAAAAAAAAATATATCAACATGTTTTTAATACCATTACATCTCAACAACCTGTTTTGGAGTACATTGCAGGCATACTTTTAGTCTAGCTAATTAATTGAAGAAAAAAAATGTGTTTGAACGATAAGTAACAATGTACAACTTAAAGCAAATTCAGATTGATTGATGACGTCACATTCTTCTTCTCACTTGTTGTCTTCTTCATCTTCTTATTACTCACTTTCCATACTATTCAATCCCTATAAAATAAAAAATAAAAAATAAAAAAGCCTAGAATAAATATATTTCAATGTACCAACATAAATGCATAACTAATGACATAATGAAAAGTACAAAAAAAAAAAAAATAATTTATAAAATAAAAGTTAAAATGGCTTGGATGATTTCATTTGTTACACAAACAATTAAACTTCATATTATCTCTCAAATGCACCAAAAAAAAAAAAAAAAAAAAAAAAAAAAAACCTTTGTCAATATCTACCTCTACTACTTTGCCTAGCATAGAAATCAAGGGGTTTGTACCTTACTTAGATGTAGTAACTAAAGAATGAAGTTAAAGCATGTTTGTCAAATTACCATCCTTCTCGGATTTACTATAAAAAAAATAAAGAGCCGAACATGTCTAGATTAAAAGACATTTGAGGATTTTGTTGCTAAAGTTGAGAAAAGAAGGAGCGAAGACCATTTGTCATATCCCTTCTATCTTGTTGTCTTTTATCCTCGTAATTCCTTTGCATAGCTTCAACCTCCTTATCATGCTTCTTTTCAACTTCCTTCATTAATGCAACAATATAATGTTTCTGCAACAATAAAAAAAAGTATGGTATACAAAAATTTCAACATGATAATGGACCAAACATTCATCAAGTAAGAAAGGTTACATTATTAAGTATTATTTATATAAAACTTTAGAGATGATTTAAGGTTATCACAATGTTCTGACTTCTGAGAAACTTAATTCAATTGAAATTAATGTACTAGGACAATTAGACTACACTACAGTTGATAAATTCCCCTAACACTTATAAAACTATTGAGTGGTTAAATCATTAAATAATATCATAGACATTATTCATTCTAAAAACAAGCACAGATAGGCAAACACAAATAAAAACATGTGGTATGATCTTCTTGCCTGACTTAATCCGGTAACAATAACAAAATAGGAAAAATTAATGATATGGTAACAGAAGGGTCATGCAAAATATGGTAACCATAACAAAATAGGAAAAATTAAGCAATTGTAAAACTTTTTTATCTTATTTATTTGATTGAATAAGCCAAGTAACTCACCAAGACATAATCCCAGAGTTCTTTCTTCTTATTCCTTAGTATGGGCCAATTATTGACAGTCAATGGTAGAATATTTGGTTTTCGAGCTATTGTTCCTGAAAAGCTAGTGAACTCGTTGCATGTTTTGTCATCATGATGACCAACAGGTTGTCCATGCTCATTCAAAGTAATTCCCAAGTGTTTTTCTTTGCTAAGTCCATGGACATTGTAGCACATAGTGAGTCCTCTTCTAGGCTTATCCTTTTCACCTAAACCGAATTCAGAAAAGAAATTCAAAAGTTTTTAAAAAATAATGACCGGTCATGCATGCATATAAATATTTTAAAATACTAAAATAAAAGAGAGCTTGCCATTTTCTTTATCATTTCTTGTTCTGATTTAAGTGTTCGACTTTTATCCTAGCGTTTCAACAAGTTGCTGCGATGTAGATGAGCCACCATGTGAAGAAGTCAAATCAACATTCTGCCGATGTTTTTGAAAAGCCAAAGTTGCTGTCACCACTTTTCGGGTCAGAACCTTCATTTTGCGACTCTGCAAATGTAAGCAACATTAACAAGTGTAAACAGCAAACATGCTTATTGATAAATTTTATATCATAGGAACAACCACCTTCCATGGAATAGTCCTCAACTTGAGATTACTTTTAGAATGTGGAATAAATAACTCTTTGTCAGAGGAGTCAAGCTCATGCTCCATATCAGTATCTTGGTTAGGCCTATAGAGCCCATCTTCAGCAGAAGCGTTATTCATTTTATGCTTACTACAATTGCCTCTACTATTTTGTACTATCGCCAACAATGACATGGCCTTATCCTTCAAACCTAATTCTTGCATTTTTGACATATTTTCTTTAATTATTTCCAATCTAAGCCTCTCATATTCTGTAATTCTTGGTTCATGAGTTTCAAGATGCTGATCACCAGAACCTCCTATAGCTCCAAGCTTACTGGTTTTTTTCTGTGTCATATTTGGAGCTATAAAATGTGAAAATAAATCAATGAAACAAAAGGAAAATAGCCATATATAAGCTATCATAAAAGCAAGCGTGTACAAAATGAAGAGCAATAACAAAGTGGTAATTATATATATTCTGGTTAATAATAAACATCAATTAAATTAAAACTATTATGTGTTGCATATTAGGAACAGTTGCTGGTCCAAACAACTAAAAAGGTCATAACACGGAAGGTTGGCCAAGGTAATTAAGCCAAGTAAAACACATGGTCTATGGTTAGCAAAAATTGTATGTACTGGTATGCTGCAAAAATTACTGAAAATGTAGTAGGAAAAAAAAGGGGCTATGAAATTCACTCGGACTAGGTTTAGTTTAGTTTAATTCAGTTGGCATCATAATCGTACATTAAATTAAAATTTAGTTAATTTTGGTTTGGTTTAAAAGGAGGTTAGGTCACATCCATAATCATATCTTTTGTCAACCAATTTGTTTAATTATAAAAATCAATACAAATCATTCAATTTTAGGTTAGTGACAAACAGATCAAACTAAGGTATCTATAAGACAAAGTAAATAAGCAAATAACTTTTTCCACAAGCTCGGAAGCTGAACTATCAAATACTCCCCAACTTATAGCAAGAACATAATTTACTTTGTAATGCACTCATGATAATTACATAGAAAAGCTACTACTTTGATTTTGGAGCAATGCAAGTTTGATAATAATGAAGATCATGGTGTGAACAAGACTAAAAGAAAGGAATCTTGTACTATGTGCATTTTGTGCCAAATCTAACAACCTCATAATTTTTTTTTATCCTGTCATTCTATTGCTCATTCGTCATGCAAAAATTTTTTGGCCATTTTTTTAGTTTATAGGTTCTTCACTCTTTAGCAGATTCTTTGTTTTGGATTATTCCCGTGGATAAGGGATTATATTATATTCTTTCTTATCCTAGCAATCAATTTAAAATTTTGATGTTTTTGGTTTTTCTTAGATTATCTAATGTTCAAGCACACGTTTTCTTAGCAAGTATATCTAATTTTTAAGCTGGACGCTAAATAAAGAAAACCTAATGATCAGGCTACTACTCATAGTTGACAATTTTGGACTTCTAAAATGAACTTCCCTTCTTTGTACATTTGCGACAAAGCACGTAAGTATTACCACCCTAGTACTAGTCGAAAAACAGCACATTGGATATCAACAACTGTGTGAAGACCAGTCATAAAATGCATATCTTCCTTAGGCCCAACCTCAATATTAATAGCATGCGAAAACAAAAGGCACTACCGTTTCTTCCCCAACAACATTATCACACAAGTTGGACACACTCTCACCACAAACTCTATGAAATCCTCAAACTTTTCACACAACAATTATTGGTAATTTATATCTCAAAATCAAGCATATTTAAAGCATAAACACATTACAAAATCTCTAGAATCAAGCATATATAATCGAGATTTTGAATTACCTTATGTCAGATATTAGTAGGATAAATGTGATCTGTAACGTTTACATTGATACATGTATAGACAAAATCACTTGAATCAAGTAATACTAAGGAAAGACACGCAAGATCTAAAGAGTAAAGATTGGAATATAGCAAGATTATCTATAGAGACTAAAACAACACAAGCAAAGTATCATGTTTAATCAAACCACCACACTCAAAAAACTAAGATGCAATGGGGATTAGAAAGTAGCAAAAATCTCTAAATGCTGCTTAAAACACACCAGAAACAGCAAAAATAGTCCTGAATCATTTGGCATTTTTTGAAATTTTCTGATTCTTATGGGTAACAAGATGGTTTTGAATCTATAGAAGCAAGACAATAATAGAGTATAGACGGTATTGGGAGTAACTATTATAGATTACTTACTTGATGCCTTATTTAAATTATTCAATTTACCATGTTAACAAGTAGAGGAGTTGTTTGAAACGTGTACAAACTTTTTACAATGTTAACAATAGATGAGTTATTTATAGGAAAATTTCACTTTTGCTACCACCAAAACACACGTATTTCACTTTTGCTACCGGTTTAAATTTTTATTTTATTGTACTATCACACAAAAACACCTTTGTTAAAATTTGCTACATATAGGGATCGTCTGTTACTGTAGCCGTTTGGGGGCCCCACTTCAACGGCTCTTTTGTCATTCTCCTCTCTTTAAATAACTGCTTCTAACCTATTTTCTCCAACGTTATACTCTTACAAAAAACATAAACAAAAATCAATCAATTCCCTTTTGACAAAAAACGAATTTTGTTGGAAAATTTGACAAATTCAATCAATTGCGAAGCGATTTAGCTCAGATGGTGGCATTTCGTTCGAAATTTAGGGCTATTAAGGTGAGCACCTTTAATTAAGCCAATTAATTCCTTTATGTGAAACCAATTAGAAGAGTAAATTGCACTTTACCTTCAAATTATTGCTGGCTAATTGTATTTGTGAGTGTTTAGGAATGATACAGAATCTGAATTTAATTTTCAATTGGTTTAATTGGTAGTTAATTTCATTCAATCGAATTAGGGTTCATATCCCAATTGAAATTAGGGGTTTTCAATTGGGATATGCATAGACGAAATTGATGGTGATGTTTGGTAAATAATGAATGTATGAATGTAATTGTTGATAAATTTGGTTGAATTGCAGGCTATAATGTCATTGATTAGGTGTTCTCCCTCCAAACAGAGGAAGTGTGACCGTGGGATTCCTATGGCTAGGCTGACATCATGGACAAGAGAGAAACCTGGAAGGAAGTTCAAAGCTTGCAAATTCTATAATCCCAAAACAGAAAGTAGGGGTTGCAGTGCTTTGAGTGGGTGGATGAGGAAGAAGGCACTGACTGGCAAAGGGATGTAATCAATAAACTTCTAATGGACAAAAAATTGATGAAGGGAGAAATCAACTCACTGCAGAGAGAAGTTGAAGATTTAAGTGGGAAAAGAAGGTGTTTGCTAACTGAGAATGATAACCTGCTAGTGTAGTGCAAAGCTCTAAGTTTTGAGAGGAAGAAATACAACAAGTAAGGGCAACAAATCTATGTTGGTGGATGCACAGCTATCCTAGCAATTACCATTTGTTTTGTATTTCTAATTGTACCTCTTTTAGTTGTATTCAAATGAGATTAGGGTAGTGCAAGTGGGTCAGAGGTAATGATTGTGTATTTAGATGATGTTGGTTTAAGACAACAACAACTTCCATATGTAAGACTTTGAATTATTATGAACGAAAGTTGCAATGTTATTTTGTAGCAATAAAATAGTCTTCCTTTTCATAGCAGTTTAAGCACTAAAGTGATGGAAACCATCAAAGTTTAATTCTGATACTTAGTTGTTACAGACAATTTTTAGTGCCAAATCAAAGTTCACCTAAAAAAGCTAGTAGCATAGTTGCAGAGTACATTAAACACATGGAAAAAAGTCTAGGTACTTAAAAAAACTAGTGCATCCTAATTTTTCTTCTTTTTCCCTTTCCCTTGCTTGGTTGGTGAGTATGTTGCTACTGTTGTTGTTGTTGATGCCTGGGATGCTTGGGTGCAGGCTGTAGGTTCTTGGGATGGTCTCTCTTGAGGGAATTTGTTGTTAGCTATGCTCCATGGACCAGGAGTTCCACCAGTATGTATTAAAAAAAAAGGAAGAAGAAAAACCATCAAAATCTAACAGTTCATGCAAGTTAGTAATACTTGGGCAGGATAATTTATACACCTTCCTAGTAGCCCCTTCCTCCTTCCTCCTTCTTTGTTCCTTCATCCAATCATTTTGCAAAATTGGTTTGCATGCTTTGTTGGCCTCAAGTGGTGCTACAGGAACTTGCATTGGTGCATTCCCACAAGTCTTGGCATAATGACCAAGCTGTCCACAATTGCCACACCTTTTCTGTCTTTTCTGTGCTTTTGGTTGTCTGCCATTGCACTCAGGTGCTCCCTTTCCTCTCTCCAGCTTTCTTTTCTTTAACTTTGGCCTCCCAGGTATAACTCTTACTGCTGGAGGCAGGGGCTATCTGAGATGATGCTTCTCCCAATGCTTGGATCCAGGCATAAGCTTCACAGCTTCCTCATATGCATACATATATGTCTTCCTTGTGTAATACACATCCACAAAGTCTTCTGGGTCCACCCTCTTGTCCAATATTCATGCAAAACCATGTACACATGGAATACCAGTTAACTGCCATGGTAACATGTACAAGTCCTCTTACCATTGAGCTCAACCTCATAGGAATCTCCTCTTGAAACCTGCACTATGCAGTGCCTTACATCCCTCTCAATCCTCTCAAAAAACTTAGTCACATAAGACATCAGCTTCCCATCCATTTTCTTGATAGCCTCCCATTTCTCATTATGCCTCTTCATCATATACCTTCTAATCCACTCCATCTGAGTGAGTATTGGCTTGTCCCTTGCATCTCTTATAACAGCATTGAATGTCTCACAGACATTGTTCAATAGCATATTTGATTTGCAATCAGAAGAAAATGCATGCCTAGACCAGTGCTTAGCAGGAATGTTATCTAGATACACATATGCATCTTCAGACAGGAACTTTATTGATTCCATTGCCACCTCAAAGTCAACCTACCACATCAAACAAAAAACAACAGAACAAAATTAATGTTTCATGTACCAAAACTGACCAATGTGTCCAAATTCAGCCAAATGTAGCAAAATGAATCAAAGCGCATTGAACTCAAGAGACAAGATTGACATTCAAATCAGTCCACAAGGTTGACATCAAAGATTAAGCAAGCAAACATTCAACTCAGTTTTAGCATATTGACATTCAACTCAGTTTAAGCAATCAATTAAAGTTTAAGCATTTCACACATTCAACTCAAGTTTAGTGACTCACCAATGTTGTAGCCCTAGTAGCATTCCAGAAGAGCTCTTTGAAGGTTGATCCACTGAATTGAAGCTTGAGGCTGGCCCAGATATGCCTGACACAGTACCTCTTCTCAACAGTTGGGACTTGCAATTCAAAGGCTTCAAGGAGATCCTGTATTAACAATCACCACATTAGTGCATAACTAGTCATATTAGTTACTATAAATAGTCTAATTAGGGCATATAAGCTCACCTTTTGTCTGTCAGACATGAATGTCCAACCACCACCTTCACACACATCACCAAGGTCCTTTTTCAAACACTCCAAGAACCAACACCATGTGTCCTTATTCTCCACTTCAACTATAGCTCGGGCAATTGGATATATGTTATTGTTTCCATCTTTTCCAAGTCCTGGGTAGGCTCTCTTTAGATGACAACCATCAATACCTATCAGAGGTCTGTATCCTTTTATGAAACCACTTCTCAATGGTTGAAGACAGATGTACATCCTCATAAAAAGTGGTGGTTTAAGGCTGCTTTGTTCCCCTTCTACCACTATGCACACCCCAGAGCCAGGACTGTACTTAATTACAGCTTTGCTATAATCCTAACCCTGGCATATTGCTCTGCAGCTGACCCATAAATCATCAGCTTCGCCTTAGCTCTAGCAAGCCAAGCTTTGGAATACCTTACTGTTATGACCAAGTCACTCAACACCCTAGCCCTATTACTTTTTATTTTCCAACTTGAGTTGTGCCTCCATTCCTCAACATACTTCTCAGCAAGATACTCAGCATTCACCATTGAATTCATCTTACTCCTCATACACCTATGCTTTAGCCTCAAATCTTTTATTTGCCAAGCATAATTGTTGTACAATCTTTGATTAACCTTATCACTACACTTGCAGCTCCCTGGCACTTTGCTTCTTTTGGAATTCCACTCACACCTACACCTTCTCTTACAGAATGTGGTTATCCTATCACCACCATTGTGCAGATAGTAATACTCATATATGTTCTCTATTGCATGTGTCCTCAAGGCTTTCCTTAGAATGGTGCTATTGCTGGACTGCAACTTGTTCACTAGCATAACTACTTTTTTTAAATCAGTTTTTTCATGAAACCAGGGACTATCTTCTTCTTCCTCATCTGACCCATGTAAACTTCTAAGCTCATCTGATTCAGAACCTTCATCATGCACTTCCACTTCCTTACAACCAATGTCCTTAATCACTTGTTTCAGTTTCTCCTCCCTTTCCACAACTACACCCTCTGAAATTTCAGCCCTATGTCTCACAACCTCTAAGCTACTTTCTACTACAGTTAAGATGCCTTCTCTAGTTTTCTTATGCCACTCATCATCATCACCGTTTGCCTCTTCTTCCCCGGGCTCCTAATCAATTTCTAGATCAGTTGCATCTGAGTTTAATGACCTAGATCCTGATTCATCCCCTTCTTCCAACTGCAGAACCCTCCTTGCTTTACTTTTCCTAGTTCCCTTCCCTTTACCCCTGTGCAGCCTCATACCAGCATCACCACCTTTTTCAATCAACTTACCCTTCCCCTTATCTAGGGATCTTGGGCTCCTTCTCACAACAAGTTGATCAGTTTTTTTGTGAATTTTCATGGTTTTGAGGTGGGCTAGAAGTCACAGAGCAGTGTTGTCTTTGGGGTGGATGTGTTTGGATTGGGTTGGATTCAGTTTGAGTATGGTCTGACACATGTGGAGTTGACTTGGATGCAGTTTGCTGTGAGCTGGAATCATGTGGGTTTGAGGTTGGGTAATTATCTGGAACTACAATCTACTTGGGGGTCCTCACTAGGGGTAGGGTCTTCAGAAACTGTGCAAAATACCTCTTAATACCCATCCCTGTGCTTAGCTTCTAGTAACCCTTGTACATCCTCAATAGTTTCTATCTTCCTTTTACCAGTCATCCAAGTCTTACCTTTTTCTTTGTACCACAGTACATATATGTTAGGTACATCCCATCCTATGTCTCTAATCCCTTCAGCACATAAGTATCTTAAATATCCTACAGTTAAGTGAGTCAAAGGGACATCCATTTTCCAATAAGTGAACCCAACTTCATACACTTGGTACTGGATTCCCCTTCTTAAACATAAAACCCCCAAATATTCTGAGCTTAATATCAACATTATCATCACCATCAACCATTTTTTTAATCTACAATTAAATAGCAATAAACAAATCAAACACTATTTAATTCCTAACAGTGACTAAATCTATTCAATTGCTACAAAAAAGGCAATTTCATACACCCATACCCTACCACATGACTATGTAAGCATCAATTTTTAATTAGTCAAACAACATTGCTTAAAATAATCAAAGCTCACTAATCTAGGGTTTATTGCTGATTCTCCCAAAAATACCTCAACTCACATACATTATTGCAAAATTACCCCCATTATTGGACCACTATAAATAGATAGGGTTTCGTACCTTGTAATCAATCGTTGTAAAAAAGAATCTACAGCTTCCAACAATGGAGATGACGACTCCTTCCACCTGGTCGTCCTCCCCTGGTTAGCCGTACCAGTCAAAACCTTCCACGCAAGCTTGTTAAACCTTCAATTAGCAGAAAAGTTGAGATAAAGAAAGATGGAGATGCTGACAGATGAAAGAGAAAGATTCGTGGTTAAAAAAAAAATTACTCAGTTTCAATGGAGTTAAATTTGGGGGTTAAGGGAATTCAATAGAGAGAAAGGGAGTAATTAGGTTGGCGGGGGGTAGATTCGTGGAGAGAGAAGAAGATAAGGGAGGGTAGTTAACTAAGTGGGGCCCCCAAACGCTAACAGTAACGAATTCCGTTAAAAGGTAGCAAATTTCAAAAGCGTTTTTGTGTGGTAGTAAAATAAAATAAAAATCTAAACAGGTAGCAAAAACATAATAACGAATTGTAGTCATCAACCAATTGTAGTCATATAGCGGCTCCTTAGCAAAAGCATAATAACTACAACAACCAGAAATTAGAAAGTTCCCAGTAATTCAATCAAACAATTATAAATAATACAACCCAGAATATATTATATCTTAAAATCAAATCCAACATCAAATTAACCAGCTATAAAGATTAAATTCACTTGAGAGATAAAAGGGGCAACAGTGACTTACAAATAGAATTAAGAAAACAACAAATTATTTGGCGACATCAAACCCCACTAGCCAATCATAAAAGCAAAGGAAGCCGTGTGAGTAGAGAGCAACGAAACTAATTAATTACGAAAGAGATACTTCATACTCTTAGTTAACTCTCACCTGAGTAGAACGAAGGAGGTATATAACCGATTAAGAAGATGAGTGTGCTATATAGTGAGATCAACAACTAGATCGTGGAGTAACTGCTGATTCATAGTGGAAAAAAAATTGGAGAAAAAAAATTTCACCATTTCGCGGGTTTTGGAGAACGAATATGGCGTTAAGTCTTGAGAAGTTGAGGATGATGAATTTTTTTTTTCTAATTTTTTTTTTTTGGATAATTGTGGAGTACTAACTCCCTCCGTTACTTGGGTGGGTGTAAAACAGATGAAACCAAGATACAAAGAAGATTGTCCAAAAAAAAAAAAAAAGATACACAGAAGTTCTACAATGATTTGATAAATAAAGTAGCTATGTAATTATTTTATTTGTTATAAAGTTCACATATTACTTGATTTTATAATTTTTTAATTTTTTTTGTGAGTAATTATAATAATCTATATAATCAAACATTGTATATGATTAAATGATAAAGTTATTCTCTATAAACCGGTAAAAATCAAAGGTTAGTAAGTGAAAGTGATTATAATACCCTAATACTTCCTCCGTGTCTAAATAAGTGAAGTATTCTGACTTTTTGCACTATTCATCTGCTCACTTTGGCTAATGTTTGTGATTTATACATAAAAATAAATATAGTCTTGTGCGTACTTGTTGGAATAGACTTAATGAATAATTTATTAATATCAGTTGTTATAATTTTTACTTATTGATAATTATAGATATTATCAAAGTTTTGCATTGACATATGTGTACAAGAGAAACTTTTTTTTTTATTTAAACACAGAGCCTCCGTTGCACTAGAATGGTAACTGGATCGAGTACGGACACAAAACAGGTACGTAATACAGTTGTTTAGAAAATAGAGGACCTGGTACAGTTAATTAAGAATGGTATAATATACTCTTAAATAAATATTTTATGAAATGTTCAATAGTATATGATAAATTTTACTTTATATATTCTAAGAAAACGAAAAAATCATTCAAAAGTTCATCAACATCTTTGGGTGTTCATTGACATGGTAAAGGTTGATATACTATATTGATCGAATTAAACGGTAATAAGTAGTGATTATACATATATTTCCTAAATGTATCATATTCAAACTTATTATTTGCATCAATCAAACCTTATCTAAACTTATTTATGTGAACTTATTTTTCCTAAAATAAGTTAAATAAAGGTGAATATATAAAGTCCGAGTTAAGATAACAAATAGGGTTCAAATAAGTCAAAACGTAATAAAAAAGACCCAAAGTCATCTAACGCGAAATAGACCTACTCAAACCTGGTTTGAACTTAATACTCTAATTTGAGCATAAAACAATACGAAGTTGATGACTTAATCAAAACTCGACTTGGACCTAATAGTTATTGTCTTGACTCAAAATTGATCTGACCCAAACCAAGGTGAGTCAAAAGGGTAACTTTAACCATTATTACAATTTATAATTTTATACAAATGTGAAAGTCAAATTATTTATTAGATTAAAAATAAAGATAGTGAGTTTTACCATTAATTTTTATACGAATGTGAAAGTCAAATCGATTTATTATGCTTATAAGTCTTATGCTTATATGTCATGATGCTTATAATATAATTACTAATCCATTGTTCTTTACGCATAAGTTAATCAAACTCGTGGCTTTCATGACTCAAACTCAACTCATCATCATCAATACCGATTTTCCCATTTACGAAAGAGTCAACTACTTATATTCACTTTTACTTTTTCAAATTAGATAAACCCATTTTCAAACTTACCGATTCAACCCAAATTGATTATGACTCAAAACGATTACAACCCGACCTGATTAGGACCTGACTGAAATAGTAATCGCAATAAAAAATAACTAAACCGAACTGAATCCGATAATTTTTAAAACCGACCTGCTAATCATTTCAACCCGTTATACACTGATCCATTAAACCCAAAACCGATAAACCCAACCCGAATCCAAACCGTTTACCCGAATTGACACCCCTAGACAACGTGTATCATGTATTTTTTTTTTTTTTTTAAGAAACATTATTATTAATGTCAAAAAAAATAAAATTATTGTTATACCATCACTAATGAGTAATGATTCGACCAATTAGTTATTGATACAGTGGTGATTGGGACTACACTTGGAAGGGAAGATCCGTGTTCAATTCCCCGCAACAATAATTGGAAGGAGAGTGGAAATTAACTACCCTGAACTAATCTCCGAATTCGGATTAACCCAAAGAGTGAACCGGGTGCTAACACCAAAGAGAAACTAATGAGTAATGATTCTCCAAACAAATCGCTGAAGACTGAAAAACTCCAACTAATTCGTTGAGTTCCCACAAAATCAAACCAACCTTTTGAAAAAGAAAAAAGTTCCTAAAAAAAAAATAATAATCAAAAGACTGCCATCTATTATTCCAAACTCGATCTCCTTCAGAATTTCGCTCATCAAATTCGAATTTGATTTCGATTTTTTGATATCAATTTCTATTTTGTTAGTGTAGATTGAAGATAGTGAAGAATTAATAATAGATTGTTTGGTATCATCTTCTAATTATATCTTAATGTAACAAGAAGATAGCAAAGGGTAGGTCGAGGATGAAACAAAGATAAGTCCGAAAAATCTACTCAACTAGCTAATTGTTGTTCGTTAATCTGATATTCTTCATCCAATTTTTAGTACTTGGTTTTATTAAACTTTCTAATTTCATCAAATATTAATGTTATATCAGATTTCTTATCCTTTATACATGGTATTACAATAATATTAGTAAAAAAAATATATAGGTAATTCTGGAAATTTGATAGTATTCGAGCACCTCGTATAGTTTTTAACTGGATTCTGAAAATTTGGTACTGTATTATTCTTCATAATAATGTTAATTTATAACTTTGCAACTAGAAGTGGAAATTTAGTTTGGTAAAAAGAATTATTGGGTTTTTGCAGATTTTATATATCAATCATATAGCAGCATATGCAATTGTTGGCTTTTGAAACTAATTCAATATGAGTTAGAATTGAGAATTGTGTTCTTGTGATAATACATGCAGATTTCTTGTCTTTATAAAGAATTAGATTATAAAATTTCCTAATTTCAAAATTGCTATTATGTCAGGCTAAGTCTTATTGGGGTACAAATATATATATATTGGGGTCGGGATCCGGTGAGAACCACTTCCTATGTGAGAACTCATCCCATATATGAGAACAAATCTCATCCATTAGATTGTATTAATCCAACAACTGAGATTGTTCCACTAATAATGACAATAATGTAATTCTCAAAATAAACAAATCAGCCCCCAAAACCCGTACAATTTTGTATACTCCTCTTCTCTCTCTTCAAAGCTTGAAGGTGGGATTTCTCTCTCCTCTTCTTCACTGCTGCATAATTTCAAGTAGTAATTGTTTTCTCTTATTCGAATTTCTCTTAATTTGATTTTAATTTTGATAATTTCAATTGAATTCCCAAATTTCTTGTTCTGATTTTTGTAATTTTGATAATTTCAAATCATCTTCTTCCAATTTTGATAAGTTCAAAACAACTTGAAGGTGGCATTACGATGGAGATTAAAAATTGAAGATCGACGATTTCTCTCTCCTCTTCTTCACTGCTGCATAGTTTCAAGTAGTAATTTTCAAATTCCTCTTAATCTGATTTTAATTTTCATAATTTCGATTTTACTGCTCTGAAAATTAATTTATGAATTGCTTGATTTGTTGCAGTATTCGAGCTCATTGACGATTGGAGAGATTTTCTGCACTGTTTTACTACCGTTTATTACAATCATTTATAAGCTTAGTAACGCTATTTCTCATTGCTTCGAATTGGATCCTCCAAGTAATCATAAGCAAGTTCACACGACCTTACTTGCCTTGCTCGTGAATCTCAATGTAAGTTTCTGGAATTTGATGAATTTTCATTTAATTTTAATTTTTTGTGGATCTAGTTTTTGAATTTGATTTTGAGCTTACGGTGAATGAAATTGAAGCATTATTTGAGTTATTCAAAGAATTGGGTTGTACAATCATTGACAATGGCTTAATTTTTATTTCGAATTAAATTCAGTACTATATTTATGGTCAGCATATTCATTACAATGTTCTTATTATGTTCTTATTTACGAATGATGTTATTATGCTCCTATGTTATTAAGTTCTTATTTGCAATCAAATTTAAAATGAGCAAATAAATTGAAAATGAGCAAACCTAAATATGTGTAATAATATAGAAAAAATATAATGAGCATGGCTTCTATAAACTTACAAGTTATCAGCCACTTGAAATTCTCATAATAAACCAATTAGAGAGTACTGTAATAAATATTTCTTAGAACATTGTTTAATTTCTTTTTTTTTTTTTTTGTGATATTAGGACAATTGTTGTACTGCTTTTATTCCTCAGAATGTCGATTTATGTGATTTAGAGACTTGTGTAAGAGTGTCATTGTGTTTGTGATTTTGATGGTACATCCTTTTTCTAGATTCATTATGTAAACAGCGTGATATATGGATTCATCAAAGGAACAACTAGCACTACTATGTTTGGTGCTTTATTATAGATATACTACTGTCGGTTTCTATTGCTATGATTTCATATGGATACATTGCAAATACCTATAATCTTTGTTTTTCGCATTCATGTTTAATAGTAGTGATGAAAATTTGTAGTTGATGGAGGTGGTATAGGCACCCTTTGCCTAGCTTGCAAAGTTGCAATGATATTTGATATAGTGATATCATTGTTGCATCTTGTTGTTGTTGCTAGGATAGTTTGTTTTGTTGGGGTTGTGCTTCCGAAATACTTATTTGCTCATTTCACAAATGAGCACTGAGTTATTTGCTCATTTGATAAATGAGCATTCAATTATTTGTTTATTTCCTAAATATGTGAAATAATATAGAAAAAAATATAATGAACAAACATAATTAAAATGAGCAAATACAAAAAAAAAAAAAAAAAAAGAGCAAATACAAAAAAAAAATGAGCAAATATAAAAATGAGCAAATGAGGAAAATAAGCTAGTGATGGTAGGGTGCAGGGAACAGTGGCGGTGGCAGGGAACAGTGGCGGTGGCAGGGGAGTGAGTGACACAGGTTGTGGTGATGCTGCTGGTGGTGGTAGGGTGCAGAGGCAGAAAAAGGAGACAGAGTTTGGTGGTGGTGGTGATGGTATGGTGTAAAGAAGATGGTGAGAAATGACAAAAATCAAATATGACTGAGACATAGTTGCTTGATAATCCTGATACTCAGTTTGAAATGTATTACTTTCTTTCCACATGTTAAATTGGTTCCATATTATCTAGCTGAGTTCAGAGTATGTGTTTTGGAACGTGGTTTCTGTTGCTGTACACGCGGTAAATTACAGGAAATCCATATGGCTTTGCTTTCCTATATAGCAGTTAACATAGTACGACTATACGAGCAATCACTTTTGTTTAAGCTAAAACCCTGAGATTTCCTATTTGCAGTGTAGTTGGATTTTAAATTTGCAACATGTCATATGTGAACCTATTAGCTCAATTGGTATAGCACTATGCAAATGCATAGAGGATGTAGGTTCAATTCCTACATAGGTTATCTCTATAAACAAAATTAATTAAAAAAAAAATCAAATTCGTACTAAATTATATGAGCAAAAAAATGGTTTGAAATGACTTATAACTATAAACTTTGTTACAATTAAACTCTCATACAAACATGTGTCTCCACATTACATAAATGAGCCTACGTGGGATTCGAACCCACATCTTTTGTGCATTTGCACAATGCTCTACCCTTGAGCTAGTAGGCTAACGTATTTAAAACATTCAAACACACTCAAAATGAGCACTAATTTGACAAAATGAACAAGAATAATTTGCTCATTTGAAAAATGAGCATTAAATAGTTTGCTCATTTGAATTTTTTTGCTCATTTAACAAATGAGCAAAAAATAGTTTCTCATTTGACAAATGAAAAAAAAAATTAATTGCTCATTTGACAAATGAGTAAAAAGTTAGTTGCTCATTTGACTAATGAGCAAATAATTAGTTGCTCATTTGTCAAATGAGCAAATAATTAGTTGCTCATTTGTCAAATGAACAAATACTTAGTTGCTAATTTAAAAAATGAGCAAAAACTTAGTTTCTCATTTGTCAAATGAGCAAACTATTTAAAAGGCATGACTTAGCGCACTTTGTCATGATCTGTGCTTCTTGCAAAGAGAAAGGAACAAATCAAAGTCTATAAGGGGCTCATACTTTCACCTGCTTGTATAATCCAGCTAGGATTCTAAAATTTCTGATAATAGAAAAGGCAACCTAGATTAGTTTTCCGGTTAACGTATCACAAAGAGCGCTAAGAAAACTGATGTTTAAACAATAAGCAACCAGGGGCAAGCCAAAAACAAAACGTACCATTTTCTAGACAAAATTTACTAGTATCATGTTTGATTATGTATTGCAGGAGAAATTTTACCTATCATTAATAGCACCAGTTAAAGCACCTGAAATTTTTTATAAAGACTGATATAAAACCCATAACAATACATGCCAATGATAGCTTTTAATATACCAATTTCAAATCATGCTCATGCAAGAAGAATTCTAACTGTTATTACAAAAGGCCAAGGCAACCACCAAAATGTCTGAAATAAAATCAGACTATCTTTAGTTGCATCTGTACAGATATTACACCTCAAATTCTCTTAAAGTTTCATAAGTTTACAGAATATCATATAGATGTTCCTCCGAATACTACAACTCACAAGAAAAGGAAATTTATAACTGATATCATAATGCAGTAATAAAGGACATGTTAAATGTTATGCTTGAATTTAATGGAAAAATTTGCAAGTCTTATTCCTATAAGCAAGTTTGCCCCTGTCGTAATTTTCTTCCATTAAGAATCATACAAAATTAGAATGTTATGTTTAGGCATTTAACTAGACAATGTCGAACAGCGAAAAACAGAAAGAAATTTGGGGTGTGACTGTTCAACATTACAGATTTAGATTCACAAATAACAAAACTAAAAGGGGTACCTTTTCCTGACGATGTTAAATTAACTATTGCCTTCGGAAAAATATGATCTCTGAAAAAGGGAAGCTCTGCCTGATCAGCATTCTCTAATTGGAACTCTGCCAAATCACCGATAAGAAAGACACATTTTCAGAACAAGGGTACTTGCCGCTGTTATCCATGAATGAATTTGATACTCTGAATCTCACTTCTTGATCACTATTTTTTGAGTTATTTCTCTCTTTTACTTCATTCATCTTTCCTTTTAAATTGGGTTGGTAAGGCTGAACATCTTAATATAATCTTTTATCAATCATCAATGCAATGAAACCATGCAAAACATAAAGCAAATTAATCTCAGCGTTGGTAAGGCTGAACATCTTAATTCTACATTAAAACGGATATTATATATAGGACATATAAATGAAACTACCACTAATCCATAATTCCTTACAACTTCTAATATTAAAAACACAGTAAGACTAGTAGTAAACTGGTAATACTCCATTTGAAACTCCAAAAACTGAGTAAATACTACCATTAGAGCAACTCATCGGTACACCTAGCCGTAAAATGTTGCCTGAACCAACTACGATTATTTCCGAGCAAGAGTACACACAAAAGAATAGACTCGTCTAGTCATACTTATTCAAGAACAGTTGAAATCAAACTCATCTTGCAATCCCAATCTCTAACAGCATGACCATCAAAACGAGTACCTCCTTGATATTGTCTATTAAAACCTTTACTCGGATCAAGTAATGCAAGCAGTTTACCATTTAATACCAACCATTTACCAGTCTCAGAAATACACAATAAACACATATCATTGCAATTGAGATCATACATATTCGTCCAAGTCAAGTCATCTTTGTTCAAACTCCAAACTTTACGATGACAAAATGTATACTGTAAACCATTGGTAAACACTTTCCGACCATAATTACCAGTCAAAACATACTTTAGACAATTTTATCTTCAATAATTCCGAAACCATAGATTTCACTATCAAAATTGTTACTAAACTAAAATCGGCACGCTCATTAAATCGATTACAAGGATCAATTTACATTCAAACTAATTGAACGAGTATAAAACATTAAGAAACCAGAAAATGAACAAAATTAAATCAGAATCTCATAAAATTTCTTCGTACTATCATCACATGATACAAACTACTAAAAATCACATAAAAACAAAGTAAAATGCCCAAAATCAATAAATTGATACTTACATCATTCGTTCATATGTAACAATAGATTCGGTTGAATCCATTTAATGAAGAATTCGCGATTTCTAGGGTTTCAACAAAATCACAAAAACCTTATTCAATACCAAAATTTGAACAATTGATGCCAAATATCAAAGGAAGCTTTATACTGGCTTTAACAGTACTCACAACCAAACCAAAACCGCAACATTATCGCAACAAAATCGAGCAAAAATCGCAACAAAACCACAATATAATTTCGCAAATACACAACCAAAACAAGAATACATGTTAAAACCTAAATTCAGGCAAAATAAAACTAAAATCAACTTGATAATTACTCAAAAAAATGAAAATAAAACTAAAATCAACAAAAAAAAAACAAACTAAAACATAATCGACACAAAGTAACCTAAAATTAGTGAGATGAAATCAGCACATATAAAACGAAAATCAAAACGAAGATAAACAATGAATGTAACCTAAAATTAATTGAAAAACAGCAAAAAAATAAACAATAAACTTACATTGACGAACAATTGATGAAGATTGGAAGTTGTGATGAAAATTCAGTGAGAAAGAGAGTAGAAAACCAGATGAAATTGAACGAGGAGAGAGAAATTGCACGTGAAAGAGGAAGGAGGAGAGAGAAAAAACGCAGAAATTGTTTTGAAATAAAATGGTTTTGTTTAAACCGGGATTGTATTGTGACCGTTGGATGTAATTGATCCAATGGTTATAATGAGTCCTCACATATAATAGTGTTCTCACATAAGGGGTGTGGTCTCATATGATCCTATTCCTATATATATATATATATATATATATATATATATATATATATATATATATATATATATATATATATATATGTGTGTGTGTGTGTGTGTGTGTGTGTAGTTTGATCAATGGAGTAATTGAATTGTGATTATGGAAATTTGAGTTTTTTATTTATTTTTGTCATATTAGATGATTATGAGTATGTTGTAATTGGTTTGATGATCTATATTCTTGTTAACAATACGTGGAATCATATTTTAGATAGACTAGCTTTAGTATAATTACTATTTTAATAAGTAGAATATCATACTTCATTTGCATACTATTTTATGTCTTATGATGTCTGGATGATGATATTCGTCTTCCGTCATGAGTTGCATGTTGTTATAAATATTACACTGTGTGTGTGTGTGTGTGTTTTTTTTTCTTCTCAGTTTACCCTCTTGACTAGACATAATTTACGTAAAGTCTAGGCTTTCATTTATGTCAGCTTCATGTTTAATTGGTGGGGAGTATATGACTAGACATATTTTTAGTTTACCCTTCAAGGAATGGCCATATATCCAAGGATTTATGTCATTAGTTGTCTCTTATTAGTTTATTATCTTAGCTATTCACCCTCCTTATAGCTTCTTATGTTATTAAATATTAGGTTATGGCAAATATCAACAAATATTAGATTGATGAACCTCAAACTCTCAAAGTGCCGAAGAATATATCAAAGGAGTTGAAAATTTTCTTGATTTTGCGTTTCAACATTCAACCATGGATGCTGAGGAAGATGATGAACCAGAAATTAGTTAAGTGCCCAAATCAAATAAATATGAAGTTCAGTGGGTCATATCTCATCTTGGCCTAGGTTGCTTGGCTCAAAGCTTCTTGAAGCAATTCATCCAAGTGTGGTTGTACTTTATTTGCTTTTGTAACTTTTTTTCGTGTTTTAATTTAATCTATTTGTGAGTTCTTCTACCTTCAAAGCATTCTCTTACTGGACATATCATATTCTACCTTTTCTTGCATTCTTGACTGACATGTACTTTATATTTCCCCCCTTTTATGGTTCACAGGCTTGCAATCGTTATAGGGTTTCAGAAACTGTTTTTGGTGCTGGTATAACCTCTTGAACTAGCTTCTGACCTTTGCTTGTAGTTATATTAGATCAGGTTACGAATGTTGGAGAAGATGTTAAGAGTTTTCCTACAGCTATCCACCCACAACAGCAGGCAGCCGCCAGCAGCAGGTAGCAGGTAGCAGCCAACTGCCAGTAGCAGCAGGGAGCAACCAGCAATAAGCAGGCAGCAGGCATCCATATGCCACAGGCAACAGCAGGCAGCCACAAGCCACAGGCAACCGCAGGCAGCAGCTTGTAGATATTGGTGTATTATCATATCTTGCTTAGATTAGGTAAAAATGTGCTGAATTTACGTCATGCTTAGTCAAGCATTCTAGCTTTAGCAGTTTTGGTTTGGTTTGATTGCAAAAGTAATGGTTAATTTGTACTTTAGAATAGGAATTTTTTTGAGAAATTTTTTATTTTGGGCGAAATCATGTTGGTAACTAAAATTAGATATGTATGTATTAGAAATTCTCACAAATATATGGTATATATCCCAATTAGACACAAATATTATAAGGTCGTGGGATTTTGTGAGTTGATTGATATCTTTACTGCTGCCATGTCAGATTTAGGAATTATAACTTTTAAGAATTAGATTTTGGGTTGAAACAATGATGTATTTATTTTTTTGTATAAAATTTGTTATATAAACTTGATTTTTGTAAGAAGCATTTCCATGTTCTTTATCAAAGTGAATTGTAAGTGTCAAGTTCCAATTTTCATACTAAAGATTCAACCTGTGTATTTGAGATTTTGAGGTATAATAAAGAATATAACATATGCTCTCTTGTTTGGGCCCTAGTATGTCATGTTTTCAAATTTTTTGGTTTATGTTGCTGTAGCTATTTGGATAACTCAAACAAACAACAAGTACTTTATATATTCGAGGACTACCAGATTGCAAAACAAATTAATATGTAAGGAAAGGATATTTGATTGTCGTGAATAAATGGGGTACAAGACCAGATAAGAACTAGCAAACAACAATGTTGTATGAGCAAGATATTAGACTGAAGATTCAGTCTTCATTAGGCACCCATTTTTTATGCTGCTGCAAAGAAGCTCAGATAGATAGTTCAGGGATGACCACCTATCCATTGAATCTACCTAGCATCCTCTGCTTTCTGTCAGTTCAGTACATAAATAATCAACTTTTGTAATGGTTTGTTTATGATCATATTATGCTGAAGCCTCAGGAGAAGGCTATGCCTCTGCTATAGAGAATATTTTTCTTTTCGTATAACTTGTTCATTGTGCACAAAATTGATTTATGAATTATGTTTTATATTCCGTTAAAAAAAATTATGCTTTTATATTTTCTGGATGCCTTGATCTTAATCTCACACTACACATTGTACAAATCAGCAGAAGAGGTGCTGATATGGGGGTGGCCACTGCAGATCGAGTGATGGGCTTGTAACAACCGAGTTTTCGACCCAATCATTCAAGATTTTGTCTGGCAAAATTTTAGAGTTGATTAAGGTTAAATTAGTGTGTAGATTTATATGGCTGCATTACCTATTTCTATAAACAATCAATTGAGCTAAGGCAGTAATATTTAAATAAGTATTGGTCATTGTACAAAGTAAATTCTATATTACACCTGTAAACTTGTAAAGAGTTGATTTCAATGAATTCAATCAATTTTATAATGTAACAATTGTACCTTTGGTTGAGATTATTCAACTTTTTCATGAGAAACATTGCCTATAATAGATAAAGCTAAGAATCAAAACTGAAATCTCTTTTTGCTATTGTGCTTCTAAGATTGCCGTTGTTTTCTAAAATATATTATGTTTATTAATCAGTGGCCTAAAGGCAAGATCATTTATACTGTTCGGGAGGCGAACACAACATGGGGCTGCTGTTTCTGTCACTTCTGTTGCTTGCTTTAAAATACAAAGGGACGGAGCACCTAAACAAATTCCTTGTGGTTATTGCGGATGTTGCCAACCTCATCTCTTAACAAGAAAGTTGTATGGTCAAGCACATTGGTAGGGAAGCAAACAAGGTAGCCCATGGCTTGGTCAAGATTGGAGTGCTCATGGAAGAGCTGATCTCAAATTTCATGCCCTCATCCCCGCAGATATTGAGGCGGATGTCAACAAAGACATGAAAGATGCTGCTATTGCTATCCCTTAATCCTAATTACAATGTCATGCCTTTTCTTTTTATGTATGAACTTTTTATTTCCCTAACTTAAAGCCCACCAACAAGCTAAGTACTAGTGGCTGGCAGTTTTTTTTTTTTTTTTTTTATTTTTTTTTTTATATATGATATAAGACCTTTTAATTAATTAATTAATTAATTAATTGTATGTCCTATTTTTTTTTATAAATAAAATGTTAATCCATACATTCATTTTAAGTACTCTTTTTGGGTGTATAGGTGCACCTTATACTTGAGTGTATATAAAAAAATTTAGTATTCTAGATAGCAACAATGTCCCAATTTGTTGGGCGATCTGACCCTAAAACCTTTTTTTTATCAGACCATAATCAATCTTTGCTCGAAAAAAGTCCTACAAGCCTGACATTATCTTGTGGGTTATGGCACAAGATTTAATACTGAGCACGGCATAACCTAATATTTAATCACCTTTGTTGTATTTATTCTACCATTTTTGGATCAAAATGATATATGGTGCTATCTACTTATATCTATTATGTAAGTGAAACTAGAATTTAAATTTTTCTTCATTTTCCTTCAAAATTACCTAAACAATTATTAAAAGAAGATACATAAGAAAAATATTGGAGTAACTCCTTTCCTATAAAACATTTAATCAGACAAAACATCATATAGTTGACAACACATCAATTGGTATTGTGTATTCAATGAAATGATGTCATAAATTGTTAGGCTACAACTGTATTGTAATTATCTTATCCAGCAACATTTCCTAAATATGTTTCCTTAGGAAAGAGAAAAGCAACACTATAGGTGATTTTTGCCTTAAATGGTCTATAGCAACACATTTTTAATTGTTGCACAAGGGTCTAGTATTATTATTTTGGTTCATAGTAACATTTTAAAAATCGTTGCCTTAGGTTATCAAGGGTAATAGTTTATTTAGTGTTGTAATTTTAGGTGTTGCCTATTGTCATTATTTTTGTAGTCTTGATTTAGCCTCTCGATATGCAAATTTAACAGTTAATGAAGATGAAGGACCTGTGGTTGATTTAGGCGCTGTGAATTCGTCGGTGGAGACTGAAAAATTCCTCTTTCCTTATTGGGAGAATTGTAACTGACCGCCCGAACAACGTGGAGGCTTTCAAGAGCACAATGACAAAGGTAAGGGCGCTATCTAATAAGGTTTTAATTAGGGTTCTTAGTCCTCATCTCTTTGCTTTTCAATTCTTTCATTGGAGAGACAAAGAGAAAGTGTTGAATGGAAGACCGTGGTGTTTCGATAATATGCTATTGGTGCTTAAGGAGATTGAGGGCGACGAATAACATGAACAAGTTTCGCTTGTGTACTCGCCCTTCTGGGTTCGAATTAAGAATTTGCCTTTTAATTTTCGTATTGATGAGGATGTGAAGGAGATTATTTCGAATATAGGTGACATTGTCGAACTGGAGGAAGATCTTCTGGGTCTTGACCGTTTTCGAAGGATTAAATTGATGCTCAATGTACTTAAACTGCTGCGTAGGTATTAGAAAATTCGTGACAAAGGGGGAAAGAGGTGACTATTGAATTCGCCTATAAGAGACTTCCTTTTTTCTGTTATGCTTGCGGGGTGATTTGGCATTCAGAGAAGGATTGTGTCCAAGTTTCTAAGGACAATAAGAAGAAGAAATTGGGGTGGGGGAGGTGGCTGAAGGCGTCACCAAGAAGAGGGAGATTGAAGGAGGTGGAAGAACTTGATGCGATCTTGGTGGCTCGAAAGAAACTATTCTTTACGATGGAGGAGGAGCGAGGGGATCAAGTTAAGATTGGGGGGTGAGGGAGATGGGGAGCTGGTTATTGAGAAGGAAGGGACTTTGTTGATTGATGTTGGAGATGGTGTGTAGCGTGATATAGTTGCTAATCGATGTTTTGTGCTGAGAGGTCAAGAATTTGGTAGCTGTGATGAAATGAGATCTTTAGTTGGGAAGGATATGTCAGCGGGGAGGGAGAAGGAAAGTGAGGGGAAGCGGCCTGATGAAGGTTTGGAGCATAAAGAACATGTGACTTTAACTGAAAGTGGAGGGATGACTGAGATGAGTGACTTTGGGGGGAAAGACCTGATTTTCATAATAGGGGAAGGGACTAATAATGTGAAGGCTTCAGGGAGGAAGTGGGGTCAGCTGGGGAAAGAAAAGGGGGGCTATGGGGGGAAGTTTAATGGAAATAGATGGGGATAATTTGCTAGGGAAGAAAGGGAGAAATAATATGGATGATGCAGTGGCTTTAGAGCATGGAAGCAAGAAGATGATGCATGCCGATGATATGAATGGATTGCGGTTGGCGGAGTCTGTCGATGAGCAACTCCCCCGAACACAATGAGTATCTTAAATCTTAACTGTAGGGGGTTGGGCAATCCCTCTGCAGTTAATTACCTCCGGAATTTAATTCGGAGGGAAGCCCCGTCTTTGATATTTTTATTAGAGACAAAATTGAGTGGTATTGAATTTCGTAGAGTTAGAGATAGAATTGGTGATTTTGAAGGTGTTGAGGTTGATTCTATGGGTCGGTCTGGCGGCCTTGCTTTGTTATGGAGAAAGGGATTGGATGTAGTGCTGCAATCTATGTCAGTTCATCATATAGATGTGGAGGTTCGTTGTGGATTTGGTGATGTGGTGTGGAGAATGTCGGGATTTTATGGATGGTCGGAGGTTCAAAATCGTAATTTATCTTAGAGTTTGTTTCGTGAGCTTGCTAGTCACTCTAACCTCCCGTGGATGTGTATTGGGGATTTTAATGAAATCCTTTATGATTCGGAAAAATGTGGGAGTAATGAGAGAGCGGAATGGCAAATGTCCAATTTTCGAGATGCTATTAATTTTTGTGGATTTTCATGTATTCCTTTTTCGGGATATGAATTCACTTATGACAAAGGTAGGGAGGAGGGGGAAAATTATCAAAGCAGACTTGATAGGGTTCTTGCTACAATCGATTGGAATGATATTTTTCCTAGTGCTCATGTTGTTCATCTTGATAAGGAGTGGTCGGACCACTCCTCGATTAAGCTCCTTTTGCATAATCGTGATTATAGCTGACTTGGGGATAAGCTGTTTCGTTTTGAGCAGTTTTGGCAGTCTGTGGAAGGGTGTGAGAATGTGGTCGAGGCTGCTTGGGGTTGTGGGGTGGATTTGGAGGCTAAGTTGACTAATTGTGCGAGTGAACTAAAGCAATGGAGTACCTCTAATTTTGGAGCTGTCTTTAGAGAGCTGAGAAAGAAGCGAAAAAAGCTAAAAAAAATTAAATAGAGGGGGGCTTTCGGCTACGCAACTCAATCAGCGTCGTAGTCTCTTGCGGGATATTGCGGGTCTTATAGCTCATGAGGAGATTTATTGGAAGCAAAAGTCCCGCGATTTGTGGCACTCGGAAGGTGACAAAAATACCAAGTTTTTTCATTAAAGGGCGTCGAGCAGGAAGAGAAGGAATTCGATCAAAAAGCTGAAGCTTGATGATGATAGCTTTGTGACGGGTGATGAGCGTATATGGGAGGCGGCAGTGGCTTACTTTCGTGAGCTATTTACTTCCTCCAACCCCTCTATGATTGATCAAGCTCTACATGGTTTCCAGATTAGAGCGACGGATGATATGAATAGTATCTTGAGAGTAAATTATACGGGTGAGGAGGTGAAACAAGCTCTCAGTCAGATG